GGCATGCCGTTTGAGCCTTTTGGCTCCTCAAGTTACGGCGAATAGAACCAGTATCAGATAGGCTGACTGAAGGGCTGAACTGGAATAAAATTTTTAACTCAGTAGAAAGTACGGTACTTCGAGTGCTCATTTGGTTATTTTATACTTTCTGCCCACAATCTTTCTTGAAACCACGTTCTTTATGGAAAAGGTTTGGGGTAAATCCATGCCGAGATTCTCTACAGCCTTCGAACTCTGCCATAGTCAACAAGCACTAAAGAGAGGACTGTTCATTGTGGTTTGATTGAATTTCCTGCACAGTGCTTCAATATAAAAGTCCGTCAACCTCTGGGAACCCCTTATGCCAACTTTAAAGAACCAGCGAAAACTGTTAGACCAAATGGGTCGTTCAGGAAGTTTCTGTTGAAACTTTGATTTCTTTCACATTTATTTTGGAAGTTTTGGAGGTTTTCTCGTGGACTTGCTACAAAAAGCCTCTTTCTACCTGTATACGCGGAATATATCCTTCTCCTTATTCCTTGGTGATTGAGCTCCATAGTGATCAAATTGCCTCTTCCTACTAGACTCTTCTCAACTCGATCTCATCATTCGGCTTCAGGTCGGGATTGTTGTACTTGCTGGTTACAACGTAAAAACACTTCCTCAGTGCTGCCAATCCGCTAGTTCACATAAGCGGCTTACTGTTTTCGAGTCCTTTGCCTCTTACTACATCGACCGTTCAATGAAACGAAAGGCTCGAGCGGTATGCCTTCCTCGGAGTTACTGTGCAGTCCGGCGAGTCATCGCGAATTCGGATCCTCAGACCTACACCCTGACAAGAATTTTCAGAACTACAGTCCCAACTGTGGTTTAATGTACGGCATATACAAGGCAAACGAAGAACGCCCCTCAGCATCTCATAATCGTGTTGAGTTTGCGTAATTTCGACTCCTCTAAGTCCCTTTTACTGTCGTTTCTGAAAAGAAACTAGTTGAAGTGCCAGGGGGCCTGATTGGTGTGATTTTTTCATTTAGTAATCAAGGGAAAACCACTCTTTAACTGTGCGTTTTTGATATCGTGGTCAGCCGTTATCATAAACTGCGCTCGTTAAGGAAATGTCGGATTTGATTGTGATGGCGAAGGAACTGTTTAAGTCGCAGCCTATGATGTTGGAGTGCACGCCGCCTCTAATCATCTGCGGTGACATACATGGCCAATTTAGTGATCTGATTCGAATATTCAACATGGTACGTACATTGGTAAAACTATCCCAGGAGCCAGGGATCCTATGGTCCTCTTATTGAGCGATACCCGTGTGAGAATGTCAGAAGTTAATTCTTCAGATGGGATGGCCTCCAAAAGTTAACTACCTGTTTCTCGGTGACTACGTCGATCGTGGGCGATGGAGTCTGGAAACTATTCTGCTACTATTTGCTCTGAAGGTAAGTCACTCTGGAATGATTACTCGGCAGGATTTTTTAACACCAAGTAAGCTTCAAAAGTGCAAGCGACTCTGCTCACAAATTCGGAACTCTAATACTCCAAATAGATTTTTCAGCTGAAGTTTCCTGAAAACTTTCTTCTTCTTCGTGGCAACCATGAGACTCCGATCGTCAACAGAATCTATGGCTTCTATGAAGATCTTATACGCCGCTTCGGTACACCTCGTCTCTATAACACCTTCCAGGTAAAAGTAACCATTCTAGGAAGTGGACTTTCGTTTGCCTTCGAGGAGCGCTTATCCAGACGAGATAAGAGAGATCATGCAAACTTCTGCCGCAGAGAGTCAAGAGATTGGCTCAGTCTACTAGAGCGAATTTGGGAACCTCAAGCGGCTCAAACAGTTCTGGGTAGCAGTTCGGGAAGCGGGGAAGATAAGCAGAACAGGACGGCAACAGAAATGATCCTAATTTATCAGAATCGCAGATGGTGTGCCTACATGGCCAAATTTTTCCACACCAAAAAAGGATGAAGGGCAACCTCCTGAGCATTGACTAATGCTGTTTACCGAAACCTCCTCATATTCAAAATTGGGAATACTGATGACATTCGGCTGCATATTCAGAGTATGTATTAATTCGGTGAGGAGA